TAGATTCCTGATGATTAAATTGAAGAAGTTTGATCACTGTTAAAACATCTTTGACTTCTCTTTCAATAAACCACCACCCTGAAGGCAAAGTCACAGTTGATGTAATTACAGAGAAATCGGGAAATCAAAGGCACTGGAGTTGCTTTAATTAACAAGATTATTCTCTGCTGCAGGTCTTGTCTCTGGTTGTGCTCTTCCTAGCCCTTAGTCATCCACAGTCAAAAGGACGTGGCCAGCCTGACACTTGTTTTTTTTTTTTGTTTGTTTTTTTAAATGCCAGCAGATCAAAATGGATGTTAACTGAGTTGGTCACGCACAAAGGAAGTGGCCTAAAAAGGTCACTACTCATTAGTCTGTTTAGAATATTATAGCAAATGAACAAGTGCCTCTGAAACTCAGCCGAGCAGAAAGAAGTAGCATTAAAGTCAGTAGCATTTTTATTTCATCAACAGCACTGGCAGCAGTCATTACTGCTAATACAGGCCAAAGAAACAATAGCATGAGGAATTTCTACAGATACAGTAAATACAAAATTCAGAGTAAAAATATACTGAAACTTCCATTCATGCCACTCTATGATTCTATTCTATGATTTACATCTCTTTCTTACATTTCTGCTTTTCTGTATCAAATTACACACAAGTCTGAGACAGTTTATTTCTGTAACAACTACAGGAATGAAAAATCATTTTATATTCACAGTAATGAGATGAGAAAACTTTGCCAATGCTTCTCATTTGTTAAGAAATACAACATACAGGTAACAAGGCTGTAATTTCTGTAACCACTCCATCACACTTAGCTGTGCTGAAACTAGCTTACAAAGGTGGAATCAGTTCATCATTTTAGGTAACTGTGCGCCCAGATTTGGACTAACCCTAACCCTGTCCCTGCTGGCCACCCCTCTTTACCAGGATACCATTTGCTTTCCGAGCCACAGGCACACACTGCTGGCTCACATTCAGTCTTTCATCCACCAGGACCCCCACGTCCTTCTCTGCTAGGTTTTGCTCACAAAGTTCTCCCAGTCTGTACATGTATCCGGCTCCAGGACAGAACCTTGCACTTTGCTATGCTGGACCTGATTAGTTACACACTATCCCACTTTTTCAATTTATCAAAGTCCCTCTGGATGGCATCCCTTCCTTCTGCTGTATCAACTGCAGCACCTATCTTGGTGCCATCTGCAAACCTGCTGTAGATGCTAATGCTGCAAACAGTCTTGAGATACTGCCATGTGAAGCCCAATATCATCAAAATATAACCTTTCCCTGAGACTGTGATCTAGAAAGTCCATTTCCTGTCTTAACAAGGTTATTTCTAGAGGGTTTTCCTTCATCCCAATTTTAAGAAGTGTTATTAATTGCAAATGTGTAACTATGATAAATACTTTTAATAAATCACTATAGTTTTATTTAAAATATTTATTGTATTATTACAGATCGCAGGATCTCCCTATCAGGGAGGATGGGGTGAAGCCTTATGTTCAGAGGCCTTGGTCCTCACAGGCAGCATTAACCAAAGGACCCAAAGAGAAGCGAGCAGGGCATAGTATCTATAAGCACCATGTATGGTGTGGAAACTGTGGTGTACTGCTCTGATTTAGGAGTTTTTAATAGTTACTTACAACAAATGCCTTCAATATACCACTCAAGAGCCTGGAATAATGAAATCTATTCAGGAATGCCACCTATCATGTGTACTTCTTTATCTGTTTCTTTTTCAATACAAATTTAACAGGAAATGCATGGTATGGCTTCAGAAACACTTTACACTGCAGGCACTTCTTACAAGTTATGAACCACAGGAAAATACACAAGTTTAGTTACCTAAGCAGTTTATTCAAACAGTGATAAGAAACCAATGCTTTCAGGGAGTGAAAATTTGCAGTAAACTCAGAGCAGTGAAAATAAATGCCTGGAGCTCCTATCTGAAGAACATCAAAGAAATGAAAGCAATGAAGCAATTTCCATGCACGAGGCATTGCTGAAAGAATTAATACATGCTTATTTTGCTTTCTCTGATATCAGCAATTAGACATTAAGTTCATGTTTACACTTAACTACCTTCCCAACGTGCTATAAAGCAGCTGCATCATTTACTTGTATGGAAGACAGAACACATTACTTCTTCTCACTCAGTATGTACATAACTTAATTGGACTGTTAATATACATGGCTCAGTGTCCGAAGGACGGTGGGTTGACTTCTTTATTTCACGGTTCCATGTAAGCAGGAGCTCTCATCACAAATGCCAGCAGCTCCAGGCCGGCGCAGGCGGAAGCAGGGCGAACAGCGGCACACGCCCGGGGCTCAGCCGGCGGGGCGGGCGGGGCAACGCAACGCAACGCAACGCAACGCAACGCAACGCAACGCAACGCAACGCAACGCAACGCAACGCAACGCAACGCAACGCAACGCAACGCAACGCAACGCAACGCAACGCAACGCCCCGTGCAGCTCTCCGCTCCAACCCTGGAGCAGCGGCCAGCCTCCCCGCTCACCTGCAGCGGCTGCATTCCGGCCGCCTCTCGCTGCGCTCCACCGGCAGCTCCCACAGCCCCGCGCAGCCCTCGCGCTCCTCGCCCTCCTCCCGCTCGCACGGGCCGGCAGCGCCGCCGCTCTCCCGCTCCATGCCCGCGCGGCGGGAAGTGGTGCCACCTTTTCCCGCCAGGCGGCGCCGCCGAGCAGAGAGAAACGCGAGCGTCTCTCAGCCAATCAGGGCGGGGGGACGACGACGCCCCGCCTCACGGTCCTCCATCGGGATGCGGCGCGATGCGGCCGGCAGGGGGCGCTGCTGGTGCTCGGCTTTTTCCCGATGCGGCGGCGGTCCGGCCATGGCACGCTCGGGTCTCGTTTGGTCGCTCCCTCCCTACACCTGCAGCGTGACTAGAAGCAGGGCTTTTAGAACTGGGATAGAAAACAGGTCCTTGCTACCAGTGACAGTCACGCTGGAGGTGGGATCATTATCCATTTACCTTTAAGACAACTTCGTCACTAGGTGCATGGGCAGAGAATTTATTTAGGCTGATTCTTGGAAAGTAACACCATTGTAGTGGGCAGGAGGAAGAGTGCTGATGAGTTTGCGCAGGGTCACCCTCCCTATCTGTGTATTGGAAAGAGTCCCTGTGCAATGCTCCTGGGCCTTCACAGCTTCCCATGGGCGTCCATAGAAGCAAGCCTTGAAGGAATAATCTGGTAAAGCTTAAAAGCAAATGTTGTAAACGCTCCTGGCATAAAATAAATAGATGCATTAAAAGAACTGAGGTAACAAGTGTATGTGCAGTCACTTCATTGACAGGGAAATGGATAAATGTAGCAGGGATTAGTTATGTGCTGAACAGAGCTGCAGCTTTTATCTGTATACATCCTTCTGAGCAGCAGGGTGAGCAGTTTAAGCTGATAAAAAATCAAGGTAGGATTAGCTGCAGATGCCTAAAATGCAGGCTTGAAGCTAGGGGGTTCCTGTTGTCAGAACATTACCATTCTGCACTCCAAATAAAAGCAGAAAAGATTGAAACTCAGACCAACCTTAGCTTTTTTGTGTGTATGTGTGGAACAGAGTATTTGCTGCATGCATATTCTACCAGAACTTAACAAGTAAGTGACTTCTGTAGTTACAGGCCAGCAATCTGCAAATCTGACACCAAATAGTCATTTAAAAGCACAATTCTAGGTCAGAGTCTAAAGCAATGGAACTAGTAACTAGCTTAAGAGAAATGCCTCAATATTGAAGATTGAAAGGTAAATAGTTTTCACAGCCTCCTGATAATCAGTTTTGTTTTGTTTTGCTTTTTGCAGGCTAATGTGGAAAGGCGTGTTCACAAAACCAAAGCAATGGATACCTACCTTGAGTATTTGCTGTGCATACTTAGATTTGAATTAACACCTCCCCTGTTGTACTGAAGGCCTGAGGAACTCCATGCTTCTTTTTGAAGCAGTGTTTGCCGTCTGTGAATTCATCAACTTGCTTGAGAGCATGATTGGGAGCTTTTTGTCAGCATAAATACTCCTTGATGAACTGTTCCATTTCCTTTTTTGAGATTGTCATCCCATTATGGAAAGTCCATTACATTTTATGGAAAGTGCCATTCCTCTACATGTCCAGTAAGTTCACTTTTATTCTAGGGTGAGGCTTTACTAAGAACAATCTCTATTTCTTGCTGCTACCGGGGAAGCAGTACTCAGAAGCTGAGTCTTCCAGAGAATTTCAATCCAGTGCGTATTTGCTTTGTGAAGAATCTGTGAAAGAATCTGTCAAAACAGCAGCAGTTTTCAAACAGCATATTGAGGGCTGGAGCATTTCTTCTGTGATGAAAGATTCAGGAAGTTGGATTATTTAGCTTGGAGAAGAGAAGGCCACACGGAGACCTCACTGCAGTCTTCCAGTGCTTGAAGGGAGCTTACAACTGTAAGGGAGACTGACTTTTTACACAGGCAGATAGTGATAAGACATAGGGAAATGGATTTAAAGTGAAAGACTAGGTTAGATGCTAGGAAAAAATTCTTCACACAGAGGGTGGCGAGTGCTGGCACAGCTGCCCAGAGAAGTGTGGATGCCCCATCCCTATAGGCATTCAAGGCCAGGCTAGATGAGCTCCTGGGCAGTTTCATCTAGTGGGTGGCAGCTAAGCCCATGGCAGAAGGGGTTGGAACTGTGTGATCTCTGCGGTCCCTTCCAACCCTAGCCATTCTGTGATTCTATGGTATTCAAGTGGCAGGTGTGCTTAGTTCCTCAGCAGCTCGAGCAGTTTAATTCATTGAATTTAAGCGCTGCATTTCCACTCTGGCTCAACTCAGTTTCAAGTACCAACACGAGGCACGTGACATTCTTCTGAGTTTATGACCTGCTTTTGCAAAAGCTGCAGCCTCACACAAGATGTGCTTTCATGGCAGCTAACAAACGATGAATTCAGACTTCTTGTTACTCTTTCCTGCCCACCCCCATACTTAGCTATATATTCCTGGGATAGTTCCAAAGCCAGCAGCTGAGCAGGATGAACTTCTGAGTAGGGTCACCAGCAGGAGGTGTGGGGCACAGAAGCAGAGGCAGAGCTGGGAGCCTGGAAGCTCTGACAGTGGAAGCTGCTGTCTCAGCACACCAACAGTGAGGCTGGGGAGTCCAGCAGCACACAGCACTGTGAATCAGACTCATGCTGCAGAACAGCGCGTGGAAAAGAAAAAAAAAAAAAATGCTGGGAAAGAAAACTCATCCCACAGTTAGAAAAATTAAACATTTTTTATCTGTTCTGAGATATTTCACAAAAGAAAGCAGCTGCTGGCTGTATGGAAAAATAACATTAACATCAACCTTCTCAGCCGGGAACATTTGTGACAGAAGCCTACATGGACTTAGAGTAGCCAGATAAGGTAGGGAACTTTATGAGTAATGTTGCTAAACACTGTTATGTCTGAAAACAAGTACAGGACAAGTTTGGGAGTGTCTGAATTCAGAACCAGGAAAATGAGTTCTGAAGAGGAGCTTGTTTCCTGTTTGACTTAAGCAAGTGCTGACCTGGATTGCCAGTCCACTTGCATCTTGAGGCAGGTTTTTCTGATAAAGAAGGAGTTAGTGGAACAAGCTATCTGGTTAGCACAATGCAATTGCAACCTCCCAACATGGACTTTGTGAGTATTGCTATCAGTAGTGCTGTGTTTTCCACGTGCACGGTGATGCTGGGATGCCTTCAGAGCAAAGGCTGACAAGGTTTGTCACAAGGAGGCACCATATTGTTATTGAGTTACAATGTGAAAGCTGGGAGTAAATCACCCTATCTTATCTTTTGCATTGTTTGCCAAAATAGAGAGATTTTCCACAATATTGTTTCCCTCTGAGAATCACAGGATTTGGCAGATAATAATATTCATCCATTCCCTGTGGAGGGAAACCTCCACAGCCTGGAGATACCTTGTAAGAAAAACTTGTTAAGAACTATTTCCACGTGAAGCAATAACTGAAAGTAGTGATTCTATTCCTGCTGTCTCACACTAGGCATGTGTATGTCAAGCTAAATAAAAGTAATGCCTCTTTTTTATTTCCATGCAAACTACACTACATACAAAGAAGCAGAATAGCACTGTTTGACAGAGCAAATTCTCAGCTACAAAACACTAGTTTTCAATATAGTCGCCACCATTAGCTATGCATTTTCACCAGCCATGAACAAAAGCCTGCATGTTGCATTTGTGAAAATCTGAACCAGCTGTTTCACATTTTTGGTAGGAAAATATTGACCACACAGTCCATTTTCCATCCGCTCAAACAGGTGGAAATCAGAAGCTGTCAAATCTGCATTACACAGGGTGTGATAGGACAGTGCAGCCAGGATAGACAGTGTGCTCCAAGCTCTGCAAACTGGTATGGGGCCTGGCGGTATCACGTTGCAAGGGAAAAGTTGTCTTCTTCACTGGCCTGACTCTAGGAGTTTGAGCCTTCATCTTAGTCAGTTAGTTAAGCAGCAGTCAGAGCTGATGGTTTATGTGGGCTCCAGGAAATCTAGAAGGATTGCCCCTTTCCTATCCCAAAAGAGAGTGCACATCACTTAACCTGCTGAGGGCTGCATCTTGGACTTTTCCTTTGGTGGAGAATTCACACGTTGCCACTCCCTGGACTGCTGCTTTGGCTCAAGCTCATACTGTCTCACTGGTAATAGTGCAGTCCAGGAAACTGTCACCTTCAGCTTCATATTAGTTCAGTAGGTCCTGGCAAACTTGCATGCAATGTTCTTCTCGAACTCCCTGCATATGTGTTTCTGGGACCCATCTGGTGTGAACTTTGTGATATTCCAAAATTGCCACCATCAGCTGTAACACACCACTCTCCCTCACGGTGCCAACATCCACTGTTCAGTCTCCATGAACATTCAGAGAGGTAAGTGGAGGTCAGTGGGTACAGTTTTTTTCTGTGTGAAGGAATTCAACCCCTTTGCTCCATACACACTTCCATGACAGACACCATTCTGTCAGACTGCCTCTCTGCTGCCATCTGCCACATTGCAATGGCATGGAATGGAATATTGCTGGGAAGGTTCAACCTTTACTGCCATACTGCCAACATCTGCCTCTGCCGTCATGGGCTAACATCATTACATAGGAAGCATTAATTTCAGGAGGCATACATTTCAATTTGTTGCTTTGGTTTTGATGACAAAATGCCTTTCAGAAATGCTTTAGAATGTTAGAATTACATTCAACTATATTATAGAAACGTATATATTACAGCATTTTTCTTCCAAGAAGATGGAAAATACTGAGGCAGGACTAATACAAGTACAGATTGTGCTTTTGCTTTGTAAGTATCTTTCGGCTTAGTCTCAGCAGTTTAGACAGTTTATTCCTGTTTTGAAAAGATAATCACTTATGAGCCTGAAGACCTATCTGCCACTACATAGCTCTGCAGGCATCATTTGTCCCTTGCAAATAAATACATTTTAACAGAAAGCAGCTTTTGGGCATTTTGTTTGCACTTGTTACTATAAAATTTTACAAAATTATACAGAAAGATAGCTACACCAAAGGAAATCAGTAAATACTAAAACATTAGCAAGGCTGTTTACAATCTACCTGCACTTGGAGTTCAGTGTTCTGTCTTTGGTGGGCAGGTGCCAATGCATTTGCCGGTATTTGTGTGTATCA